GAGTCGGGGCCGACTCGACGGCACATAACAACAACAACAACAACATGTGTGTGTAGGTGTGTGTGTTATGCACCCTGGGGGATGGAAAGCACAGAGTAGTTGAGAAGACAACATCCATCAGTGGTACGGGCAACTCAGGTCAGGGAGGCATCACAGTAGGGAAGGACTCAGAAAGACATTAATAGCTGGAGAGACAACCAAGTGACAAGCGCAACAGCAGTCATTTAGAAGTGAAGGCACACTTACCAGTCGCATCATTTTTATATAGTCATTTGGTTTACAATGTGGACACGAATGCTGTGGTCTAGCTCTTTTAGACTGCCTCTCTCTCATTGTGTCTTGAGACTGAAGAGTTATTCTTTCTAATAACCTCCAGCTTCTCACTTCACCATTGGTAAAGCGAAGCTTTATCAGTACCCCAGGCAATTATTTAGGGAATTTGCTGACAGAACCAGCTTGGCAAAGTTTTAGGAAGACATGAGACAAATCTTAATTTTTTTAAACTGATACTTTGTTGCCTTAATATATGTTTAACTGTTTTATCCTAATCTCATATTGAGGAAAATTTTCAAAAATTAAAAATATAGGATAGCTGACAGATTATAACTCTGAGCGATCACTTATTTAATAAGACATTTTCTGTGTTTGGATTGTAGGAATATTGTAATACGGTCCAGCTAGATTCTGGGATAGATTACCGGAAAAGGACTCTTCCTGCTGCAGGAAAACTCTATTACCTGTAAGTTTCCTTTTACATTTTAAGTTTCTATGTTTGCTACCTAATAATTAATGAGGAATTGATGAGAAAAATAAACAAGGTAATTATTAGAACATGAAAAGCTAGTTCTGAAAGCTCTGATATTTAAACTGTACAGTGTTATATTAACTTCTTTAAACTGTGTTTTTTGCAGTTCACATTTGCATCAGTTGGATGTGCGATTGGATGAAACCCTAATTAGTTTTTTGGGAGGAGTGATGACAGATGGTTAAGAAGTAATGAGTATCCCCTCATAAGAGACTCTTGTATTAAAAGAATATCTTTTTTGTGCTAAAGTAATTAGTTATTTGTGGACAACATCTAACAAGTGTGCCACTTCCATTCCCTAAAAATTATTTTATTTTGTCAGATGATCTGTTTGTATTTACCCTTGTTGATTGACTTCCGTCCATAACTGGTAAAAAATGTATGTACAAGTATAACTGGATGCTTTGTCTTTTAAAAGCTAAACCTCTTTCAGTCAGGAGCAATTTGTAATAATAAATGTATTCAACACATACAGATAATGCTGAAAGAAAAATACAACTTGTTTTAAAATGTCATTTGTGAGAACCTGCAAAACAAAAAAGTGTATTACAAATACCATCTGTTGTTTGGTATATACAGGCAGCATTTAGCACATAGTGGGTGCTCAGGAAATAGATCTATCTAAGGGCTAATTGTGATGGAAGTAAGAAACATGTTTCCAGTAATTTAAATTTCGATGGCAATGTACATATGAGAGGTTCAGAAAAGTTCTTGTCTCTGCCACCTTGTAAGCAGAAGTACTTTGCTGTTTTTGAAGCAAAGATTAGCTAGAAAAAAATCACATAATTAAAATTGCATACATTATGTTGTACCAAGGGGACTCTTTCAGTTTATTATTCAGACTCTGATGATTATTATAGGAGGTTCTTCATCTTCCTTTAAGTACTTTGTCTTTAAAGTACTTCATAATTTTTAAGAAAATTCTTATAGCTTTTTTTCTGCTTTAACATTTACTTCTTTTTTGGTTTCTTTTATGTTTGTATTTTCTGATTTGTTTATTTTTCTGGTTTACAACTTTTCCCTGATTTTTTGCTATTTCTTAATCTTCCAGATGTGTAGTATTTATTCATCAATTTATTATCATTCTCTGTATTCTTTTTCAAAGGGGTTAGTCCTTTGTAGCTCAATTCTCCCACACAGTGTATCCTTGTATGTGAGAATTAAAATATTCTCCTAACAGGAAATTCCTTAAAGAAAGATGGAAGTCTGAGTGTAAACCATGACATTCGTTTGATAATTAGAGAGATCCCAGTGGTATTTTTCAGGCAGTGGAAATGTGGCCTTTGCTTGGAGGATGGTCATTTTTTCTCTCTGACCCACCCTGTCTTGCCCCTTCCTCTTCCTGATTAAAAAGAACACAATTCTAACACAATGAAATTCTGTTTTACACTAGAAGCACGTATTGGGGAAAAACAGAATCAAACAGTGTTCCAGAGTCCAGGAAACTAGAATCTATAAAATATACCATGAAATTTTGGAAAGCTTTCTTCAAGTTAGCTAAACAGGTATACCTCAAGATTTGTACATTAATTGAACATTAGTCAGCTTGACTGTAGTGTGATAGCCAAGAATAGAGTCTTGGGCACACCTCCTCAGAGACATGTACCACTGAGGAGAATTAGAATGAAACTGCCTCAGAAGTGGAAGAATAATAGTAGACAACAAGATGGGGTACTAGGGACGTATGTTATATTGGTTTACATGATTACTTGAGTCAGACTTTTACTATGACAGAGTAAAAAAAAAAACAAAAAAACAGAAAAACCTGTGGTCATGTTAGGATTTTCAGTTTAACTAGGTTTGTTTTATCTTGCTCTTATCCAAAAACTTATCAATCTAATTTCTCCCCTGAAGCAGACTTTATTATTCCATCTATATAATGTCGTATTAAACTGTGTTTGATTTGTAGCCTCTATTTTTTTTTGTTGTTGTTGTTGTTGTTTGTTTTCTTTTCTCTGTTTGACCTTCTGCTCAAACCTCTGGAATTGGCTCCTGAATTTGCAAGTTCAGATTATCTCCTTGTCAATTTCATTTGTACCCCAAATGTGCCTGAAAAGAAAAAACAAAATTCTAGCCTTCCTCCAGGGGAACACCACTCACTAGCTCAGAATTTCTTGTAAGTAGAATCTAATATATGACCTTTAACTAAATAAAAATACTCATCATCCCAATATTTTATTAATCTAACTGCCTAAAAGCCAATTAAAATATCTGAAAATATCATCCAATTAACATCAAGAAATACCAGAGACTTTAAAAAGTATCCACAAAGTTGACATGGAATCATTTTTATAGTTCATAATATTGTCTGCGTTCCATAAGAACTGATTTGTACAAGGTATCACATGTTAGTATTATAATCCATTTCAGTTATTTAATATCATTTTAAATTTAGATATCCTAGAGTACCTTATGGGAGCTGTGATAGCATAGTGCCTTAGGCACTTGACTGCTAAGCAGAAGGCTGGTGGTTCAAACCCACCAGCCACTCCTCGGAAGGAAGATGGGGCAATCTACTTCCGTGGTGATACTGCCTCGGAAACCCAAGGAGTGGTCGCTATGAGTCGGGTCCGACTCGACAGCACATACCAACCAACCAACTAGAGTACTTTATAAGTAAGGCCAGAGTTTTTTGGTCCACCCCGTGACATTTTTAGCCCCATATAAAACAAACTCAGAGAACGTGAATTTAGCAAGTTATATGCTACAGAGAGTTTGAGTGCAAATATCCAAACTTTTGCATAGGTTAAAACACTCCACCACTGTGTACTTTCTCATTCTGTGGTAACTGCATGACCACCACTGAGATGAATACAAAGTCAATTTCTTCCTGGTTACTTGGTGGGTAGGCCTCATTAAAATCCCCTCATGTGGAATATGGTTTGCCAAAATCTAAACAGTTCAACCAAGTATTGAACTTCTTGTTTGCATCTGGGTGGAGGATTGGACCAGTAATTTATGTTGAGCCACCTGGTGTTTGTGAAAGATGGCTACATTCTATGGTTTAACTGTTTCAGATTAGTTCTCTGCTTGGGTACTGGTGACACTAAAATTACCATTTTAGATATGCAATGTACATCTGTTATCAGACAGAAAACACCACTGAGAGGTCTTTGAAATGCTGCCCCAGGCCTTTTTGGTGTCACTTCTATGAAGGCCTACTGGTTTTCTGGGAGACAGGAAGTTAGGTCATGTTGGTTGCACCTTCACTTTCTGTCCCTTTTTCATTTCAAGATATGAACAGTAAAGGTTCTTTTTCTAATCCTGTTGAAGGAGTTGAGAGGGGAATGTTTCTACTGAAACACTAACACCACCGTACTCATAATACAAACACCCCACCGCAGTGCAGAAGCCATGGCCATAAGCAAAGACTTTAAACTGAACTGAAAGAGACGGGATGGTGAGTCTGGGATTCGATTTTTACCATGTTGTTATTGTTACCTGCCATTGAGTTGGTCCCCAACTTTGATGACTCCATGCATAATGGAATGAAACATTGCCTAGTTTTGAACCACCCCCATGATCGGTTGGGGATTTGACCCTTGTGATCTATAGGGTTTCGTTGGCTGATTTTCAGAAGGAGCTCACCAGTCCTCTTTCCTAGCCCAGCTTAGTCTGGAAGCTCAGTTGAAACCTGTTCAGCATCATAGCAACACACGGCCTCCACTGGCAGACAGATAGCAGCTGTGCATGAGGCTCACAGGTCAGACTCGAACTCAAGTCTCCTGCATGGAAGGCAAGATTCTACCACTGAACCACCAATTACAGACTAATAAGTTAGCCTGTTATTATTTCATGGATGCTGGTAGAAGACGCAGAGACCTAGGACAGAGACAAAGGATTTATTAGTCTTAATGGAGCTAGCAGCATGAACATTGCAGCATGTTTGTGTCACTTTCTTCCTTGCCTTCAAGTCCTTTAAGGCACCTCAGATGGATGTCTGCATAGGCAGAAGATTGTGTTCCAGGAGAGAAACTGAGTTCAGGGAATCTACCATTCATTATAGAGCCAGAAGTAAGCCAGCCTACTTCCTCCCCAAAGGAGGCAGTGTCTCATTCCTTACAATTGGTCTTTGCAAACACAGCCTTGAGAAATGGTCAGCATAGATGTGTCGTAGCCTGAGACACTCACAGAGGACTGCCTCTCCCAACAGGGAGCTTCTGCCAGACTTTTAATGTTAAAGAAGCCAGTCTTTCTCCTTTTATTTTCAGTTGGCTCTAATCCATTGAAATCATCTACCACTTCATTGTTCAGTTATTTAATACTTAAAGTAAATTGTCTCAAGACCATTAGAATTTCATTGGATCATCCTAAATATGATGAAAAATACAATTTATAATTTCTCAAACACAGCCCAAATATTCACATATTTTTAGCTGGCTGATATAGTTGATGCATTTATCTACCTTTTGAACAGATTTCAAAAAGAACTTTATCTGTAAATATTTTTACCAATGGAAGTTTCGATCTCAAGTACTCTTATTTTTCACTTGGGAAATCCCTATTCCAAATAGAAAACCATTTCTGAGAACATATCCTTGAACACCATTAAAAAACAGACAAAACTAGTTAGCTGGCACAGAGCTTCAAGATCATAGCTCTGTGTTAGAAGAGCCATGAAAATAAAGCCTGATGCTCGTCTATGTGAAACCCCATTTCCCCTGTAATAGTCCCCCCACATGCTTTTCCCCTAACTAGGAGAACTGGATCAAAAAACATTTCTTAGCTGGACTCTTACATCTTCCCCTTTTTTAGTAGTTGCTTCAGAGTTTGGAGTAAACACCTTTAACTTATCAAAGTCTACCTTCAAATAATATGCCATTCACATATAGTGTCAGAATCTTAGAACTCTATGTTCCTTTCTCGGCATCCTGGCTTTTGTGCTATTGTTGTCATACATTTTATTGTATTATGTTATATAACCTTATTATATA